GCTTTGGAAGGCTGAAAAAACTGCAATCAAGACGACGGGATGGAAAAGAACAAAGAAAGGAAGCATAGAAGAACACAAAGAAAGAAAGAAAGAAAGAAAGAAAGAAAGAAAGAAAGAAAGAAAGAAAGAATGGTAGAAAACTGAAAACACTGAAAAAAGGACGGTTAACGACAATGAAAGAAAGAATAAAAGAAAAAACAGAAAGAATGAAGACATGAAAGAAGGAATGAAAGAAAGAAAACTAGAAACACTAGAAAAAAGAACGGTGAACAAAAAAGAAAGAAAGAAAGGATGAAAGAAAAAAGAAAGAAAGAAAGAAAGAAAGAAAAACGGAAAAGGGAAATACGGATGTAAGAGACACGGATATAATAGAAACCCGGATATAAGAGAGATTTTCTCTTGTCCCAAATTAGAGCCTATGTTAATGTATATAAAATAGACCAAACTCGGATATAAGAGAAAACCGGATATAAGAGACTTCTTCTCCGGTCCCGACAACTCTCTTATATCCGGGTTACACTGTACTGACAAGAACAGTAAAGCGTGAAAAAAAAAGAAAAGAAATGAAGGTATGAAAGAAAGAAAGAAAGAAAGAAAGAAGACATGAAAGAAAATAAGAAAGAAAGAAAAAATGAAAGACAGACAAAAAAATGAAAACACTGATATGTCAAAGAAAGAAAACAAGAAAGAAAGTAGGCATGAAAAAAAGAAAGAAACAAATTTAAAGAAAGAAAGAAAAATGTTTGAAAGGAAGTATTTCTTCTGCTTGGAAAAAAAAAAGAAATATATAAAGACATGCTTTGAAGGAACGCAAGGAAGAAAAAAAGATTAAATAAACTGAATGAAAGATTCTTATAGAAAGAAAGAAATCTTTGAGAGGAAGAAACAAGAAACAAAGTTTTAGAAAAGGTAGGAAAGAAATTAATGAGAATAAAAGAAAAAAGTATCTGAAAGAAAAGTTTTGTCTCAAAAAGAAAGAAAGAAAGAAAAAAGAAAGAAAGGAAAGAAAGAAAGAAAGAAAGAAAGAAAGAAAGAAAGAAAGAAAGAAAGAATGGAAAATAGAAACACTGGCAGGAAGAACGGTAAACGGCAAAGAAAGAAAGACAGACAGAAAAATGGAAATACTGAAAGAACAAGAAAAGAAAGAAAGAAAAAGAAAGAAAGAAAGAAAGAAAGAAAGAAAAGAAAAAAAGAAAAGAAAGAAAGAAAGAAAGAAAGAAAGAAAGAAAGAATGGAAAATAGAAACACTGGCAGGAAGAACGGTAAACGGCAAAGGAAGAAAGAAAGAGAAAAATGGAAAGAAAGAAAGAAAGAAAGAAAGAAAGAAAGAAAGAAAGAAAGAAAAAAGAAAGAAAGAAAGAAAGATGAAAAAAGAAAGAAAAAGAAAGAAAGAAAGAAAGAAAGAAAGAAGGAAAAAAGAAAGAAAGAAAGTAAGAAAGACCATAAATCGTGCAAATGCACTGCGTGTGGCTTCCACAGAAAAAGCAATAGGGTGGGAGACGATGCTTGTGAAAAAAAAAAAAAAAAAACAATTTTCAAGTAAAAACTCCGAATAAAAACAAATCAATTTGAAGTGTTGCCAATTCCAAGTATTTTGCTCCTTATAACTCTCCATATTTCCCTTTTCGCAAATTAGCCTCATCTCTTCCAATTGCCTTTATACTGTTTGACGTCAAGCTAGAATCTACACCTCAACCTCGACGAGTGTGTTGTCTGCCTTGTAAGCGTCTGTCGCTAGCTTCAGGCGTTTTTTCATTCCACTGCTAAACATATTTACATTTCAGTAAACGCATATGCCAATCTCTTTCTGCCACCATTTGCATTCTGCTAGCAGCCGCTTCTTGGAGAATTTTGCTCAGGCAGAACTTGCCCCCCCATAAAATTGGCCTTGTGCGTCTTAATTGGTAATAGAGGCGTCGTGCTAATTTGGTGATATGAGATGGCCAGAGAGAAAAAGCTGACTGACAGCACAGAACGTCTGCCATATTAGCCTAGCTTCATTTTTTTTCTTCTTTTAATTGCTTTTCACTTGACTTTGCAGTCTCGTTGCTTCTTTTTACTTCGTTTTTTTTTTTCTTCTCATTGCTTGCAGTCTTTCAACCATTATTTACTTTCTTTTTTTCTTTCTTTGTGTTCCTTCAACATTGTTCTTTCTTTCTGTCGACCTTTCTTTTTTTTTTCTTTCTTTTATCTTTTATTTCACTTTTTTCTTTCTTTCTTTTTTCTTTTTTTTTTTTTCTTTCTTTCTTTTTTTTTTTCTTTCTTTCATTTCTCTTTCGTTCTTTTTCTTTCTTTTCTTTTTTTTCTTTTTTTTTTTTATTGCCAGTATTTCTGTCATTCTTTCTTTCTTTCTTTCATTCATTCTTCTTTCTTTCTTTTCTTTCTTTTCTTTTTTTTTTTTTTTCTTCCCCCATGTTATTTCTTTCGATTTTCAGGGCTTTTTCTTTCTTTCTTTTCTTTTCTTTCTTTCATTCATTCATTCTTTTCTTTCTTTCTTTTT